AGGAGTGGACAGTTTTGCATCTAGTTGTTTAACGAGGAGTTCAATTTTGAATGAAATAGTTACAATAATTCAAAAGGTTTGAATAAATAATTTTGGCTTTTTACTATGGTGCGGGCAACAGTATTTACAATGATTATACGCACATTGAGGCAGAAATGATTTGTTATATTAATCAATAAAAATAATTAAAAGTAAAGGTTATAGTCATTTGTTATATGAATCAATACAAAATTACAAGCTTGTATTTTAACTACAGGAAAAATAATGAACAAGAATCCATGAATTTTCTAATCTAAAGCAATTTGGGTAAATTGGAGATCAATCAAATAGCCAATAGATTAATCAATAAAAAAGTAATTAACAGAAAGTGTTAATTCGGTACAGACTTAATTGATACTATCACATTATCATAAAAAATAAATTATAGCTCTATAAATAAATTTTATAAAAGGGTAAAACATAAATAAATATGCAACACTTCTATTATCGTTGCTCATTAACGTTTGGATAAATTAGAGATCAATCCAGTAGCAAACAGATTAATCAGTAAAACATAATTAACATGAAAGGTTATAGCAATTTTGTAACTGATTTACGAGAAAAAACTGCACAAAAAGTAATGAACTCGAATTTTCTGCAACTACGACATGATATAAGAAAATAGCATGAAGTTAGGAACGAGAAAGCCATTCCTTGTGCCATATGGACTAGAATACGAACCCCAAAGAAAGCCCCAGTTATGTACAGCGAATTATTAACAGGGCCCTAAAGCGAATCAGAAACCACAAAGTTAATGGAGCGACTCACAAGCACCTCTTGGACGTGAAGCAGTGTCGTCTTCCCTGGAAAGATAAAATCAACAATAAGGCCACGCGTCTGATCTGCCTTAAAGAAACGTAATTCAAAGATTGGGACGTGGAATTAGCACTGGTACAGCGAAACACAATTTAAATATGAACAGATGGGAGTGGCCTCCAGATTGAACGAGTACGAGAGATGTTTGCGCCTTCTTCTGCTGACTCGTACGGGGGGTGCCATAAACATTAGATGGAAGAGGAACAAAGCCGGAGCCTGTGCGGCGAGGAGCGGCGCGCTGTAGGGAAGTCGGCAGGGGCGGACGCCGCCGGAAGTCAGGCCAAGCCGCGCGGAATTCTTCGGGGAGTCGCCGAGTCAGGGGCTCAGGGCCCGGCCAACGGAGCGATTAGGAAGCGACGTGATTAAGGGATGTACGATCCAATTAGAATTAGGCAGGAGCCGTTTGTAGCCGTTTTCTGTCAAACAGGGTAAAATGAAACGGCTCCACCGACGAAGCCTCTGAAAATATGCTCTCACATAGCTTTGGGGTGATAAGAAGCAAAAAATAGTGGCTTCTCCCGGCTCCTTATCCACCTCCATGCGCTGGTACCCAGGACTTGGAACAAATTACGTTAATTGTCACTGAAACCACCGCCGCACCCACCCCATTGTATCGCTACTTTTCTGTTTCCGTTCCCTCCCGTACGCGGAGCATGATTATTATTTGAACGGAACAGTACTCCAAAAAAGAATGCGTTGCTTGCTAATTCTGTATGGTTTCAATTTTTCATTAATTGTAATTTTGAATTCTGACTATAATTTGTAAACTTTAAATTACAATTTTAAAATGCAAATTTACTCGGATGAAACCAAATGAAGATACATACACCTGCACATGTTACTACATGTATCTATACAAGGGTAGATTTGACAATTAACCATGCATGATAGACAAGTGAAGCCGTTTTGCCAAACGTGATATTAAAATGGCTCCGGCTCCACTGCAAGAGCCGTTTGTGGAGCTGAAGCCAAAAAAAAAAAAATGGCTTCACTGCAGAAGTGAAGCCATACCAAACGGGGCCTTAATATAAACGACTAGATTTACGGGCTAAGCCATGGGCGTGTTTGCAGTCAGGCCAAGCCGCGCGGAATTGGATCAAATAACTGGATCAGTCTCAGTCTTAGTCTCGGTTGGGTCTGCGCGCTTGCCAACATACTTATATAGATCTATATGTCGACTTGGTACGAGTGCTCGTATTTTTCTGAATTTATTTTAGAATTTAATGGCGCTATGCTTTCAGTGATAGGTGGCGACAGCGAGGCGCCTGTGGCGACTTTGTGGATCTCAAGATGTGTCAGGTCAGCCCTTCGGAGGTGCTTATAGGGGTAGGGTTTGCGTACGTTTGTTAATAGGGGTGGGTGGGTGTGTGTGTCATGGGCGTCTATCTTGTACCGTGTAATTCTAAAAAAAGATTTATATCTATATTTATATATATATACCTAATATTAAAGAGGCAAAATATATATACATATCTATATCTATACCTAGTAATAAAGAGGCAAAATTATAGCCCATTTTCTTGGTCTGTCTATTTTTTTTTGTTTCGTCTCTTTCTAACTATGGAACAACTGATAGTTTGATACACGCGACCTGCACAACATACTAGGATGATTTTTTTTTTGTTGCAACATGCCACTAATAATAGTTCACATGGTTGATTATACTCTCAAGTTATTTGGATCATTGCAACATATGATCTAGGAGCATTGCAAGATAATATGGAAGTACTTGCAACTTACTATTTTGGACCAATGAAACATATATATGATGGAAGCAACTGCAACAATATATTCGTTTGGATTTTGAGGATTGCAACATATGATGTAAGTACTTGCAACATGAAACTAATGCTAGTTCAACATGGTCAATTGCATAACAGAAATGGCATAGCTCACGTAGTTCCAAGAAAACTCATGTCATGCGATACTTCACATTCACATGTATCGTGCACATAACAGGATCCTGATAATAAGGAACCCCAACTATAATAAATAGAGTATAACTAGATTAACTATACTATGACTAATGAGATGGTCTAGAAAAATCAACAATGCTAGATGATGAAGTCAGATGTGGAGGTTTTGTTCCTTGACGATAGAAGGAGGACCACGCAACAAGCTTCCTGACATCATATACCGAGAAAAAGACAAGACGAAAATTAAAATGATGGGAAATATGAAAGGAACATATCAATTGAAAGAAGAAAAGGAAAAAAAAAACAACACAAACATAGGTGTGCTCAAATGTAATGTTCATCTTTTTCTCATCCGAAGACTCAATTGAAAGCATTTCATACAACATACACATGACATTTTACACTCCCAAATATTTATTTTGACCGACGACGTAACCACTCCAATACGCCCTTATTGTAACCCTACACCCTCAGCCTATATAAAGGAGGGTAGAGATCTCATGATCGAGATCCATCTCATTTCTTTTCATTCCATCTACTACGTAGTTAGGAGCAACAACCCCTGTAACCGAACATATGAATACAAGAAGAGCAGCATCACCCCAACTGGACTAGGGCAACCCATGTGCCTAAACCAGTATAAATATTGTGTCTCGTGTGCTACCACCTGATTCCTCTTACATGAATTAGTTGCTAAGTATTGCCGGAGCTAAATCATCCGACACCTTCTTGCGTCGCTTCTTGGTCATTCAGCCCGCACGTCTACATCGGTGGTTCGTCATTGCCACCACGGATAGGGACGCCTCTGCCGACTTCTTTCATCGTTGGTGCACCTCGCACGTATTCGGTCTGTACAACCGATTATACGCGATCCACCCGGCTCCAGTGACGTCCACCACAGCATGCAGACACTCTATATGGACCAAGAGTCTCAATGCAATACGATCCATCCATTCATACTAGTATTCCCTTTCTTCTTTCAGGCATTTCCATGCCTGTTGAACTACTGCTAGGAATTCCTCAGAGTTGCACCAGATGTTCTTGAACCTGAAGCTCAGCCTTGCCCAGGGATCAGTGTTGAGCGACAGGATTAGGGGTGCGTGATCCGAGCAGTTCGTTGAAAGGCACCTTAGACACGAATGCGCGGTCAATTCGCTCCACGGTCGGCCTTCTCCGCTCATTAATCCAGGTATACAGCCTTCCTGACAGATGTAGCTCAACCTGCTGCAAATCATCCAGTGTTCAACGCTCGGCTGCAAAGCTGCCCATAGATGACGTCTCCACGCGACTATGGCACCCAGGGAAAGACCCACCACAGGCAACACAGTATAGTCAAAGTCTCCGCGTATGATGAGTGTTTCGACTGTTGAGCTTTGACCCCACTTCTTCATCAACACCTTTTTGTAACCTGCTTCTCCGGCTTGTTGACTCTCATGTTTGTCTTTGCCGCCAGCAGCCTGTCGCTCCGCCTGGGAACGACGCTGTCATTGAGATTGCGCTGCCGTGAGATGCGCAACCTTGAGCTGGTTTGGTTAATGAACTCTTGGATTGTGCCAGCCCGCATCCCCTGTGACGCTCGCATGCATTCGCCGTTGTGCTTGTGACCTGTTCTTCCCTGCAAATTTGGTACCCCCTCTCTGCACCGATTCCTTCTGCAAAAGAAGGCAAGGATCCGGCCGGCCCCTCCACCCCATTTGCTTTGGCTCAGCAGTAGGCGACACCACAATGTTGGCCTCTACCAGCATGTCACGATCCGGCCGGCTCAGAACGCGACTCAGCTTGCTGACGGCTAATTTCCAGCTCCGTGGCTCGCCCAGCGGCCGGCATTCAAATTTGTCTCCAGCTGCAAACCTTTGGTGCGTTGGTGGCGGGCCAGCTAGCGCCTGGGACCATGGCCAGTGCAGGCCCAGCTTTGCGACCGGCCGGCCAGCTTCTGTCCATCAGTCCACATCAAATGGAGGACCAGCTCAGCAAATGCTGACCATAATGTGGTTGATGGACGTGAATAAAACACTGCTGAATACGTACATGCTTCGGGACTCTTGTGCTTCCGTTGGAAAACACTAGGGGATAGGGTCGTATATTCCTATGTTTATGCTTCTCCGGCGGAACACTCTAGGCATGTGATTTATATATAAATTATCGGGTTTCTCCTCACTCGATCATCCACCAACCTGCTCGCTCATTCTTTTCTTCAGCATACAAAAACTTCCATAAAAAAAACAGCCAATGGCGCCTTCAAGAAAGAATCTCTTTGTAGCCGTGCTCCTAATAATTGTCATCGTGGCCGCCGGTAAGTACATGCATATGTATGAACTGTTGGAAATATAAGTGTCTCTCTTAATAACTAGCTTAAGTTTCGGCGTTCAATTGGGTGTATGCAACTTAATATGCTGTTTTGATTAATCTTTTGACTAATTAACCACGTTCTTGCATGTGCTAGTATGTTCAATGCCTGCTTGCACGCAGAGTGAATGCCGGCACCTGAGCGGCAAATATCATGGACTGTGCTTCGTTGACTACGCTTGCGATAATGCATGCTCTTTTGAAGAACCCGAGATCATTTATGGCGCTTGTGACGACTTCAAATGCTACTGCCATACATGCTGAGTGTTGCTGTTGCTAGCGCTATGCAATGATCCCAGACTAGCGTTTCTTAAATATAAATTATCCCTTCTGGCTCTTATGTAATAATATGTATATATAGTTTTTTTTAAAGGATGGGTTACTCTGCTAGTTAAACATAGAGTAAAAGTGCACTACTGGTCCCTAAACTTGTATCACTATGTCATTTTGGTCTCTAAACTTGCAAAACTTTTGTCTAAATACCTAAACAATATATGTTCGGATCTCACTACAGTTTTATCGGGTCTCAGTATGGTCCTTGAATTTATTTTTCTTTGTCATCCGGGTCTAAGACTATCAAAATGCTCACTCCTGCACAAGCCCGGGTCAATTCCAATGAACCTCTCTGTCCGTCTCTCCGCCATCCTTTTGCTGTATGTCGTCGAGGCTAGGCCACGGGCGACTGCGCTAGCCTCTTCCACTTCAACCGTTGTCTGTTACAACGCCGAGCGACACACCGCCGCAGCCCATCAACAGCGTGAAGGACACTTTGGACGGCCTTGCGGGCATCCTCGGTGGGATCCTCACGATCCGGCCGGCTCAGAACGATTCAGTTTGCTTATGGCTAATTTGCAGCTCCATGGATCGCCCAGCGGCCGGCATGCCGACCCACCACTGGCCAGCTTCGACTGTATCAGCGGACAAGGTACGTACGTTAGTACCAATGCAACTTGGTGTCATGTTTACTTTGTCATATTAAGCTATGGCCATGTTTAGTTTCACCAAATTTCCAACTTTGACACTATGCAAAAAGAAGATTCCCGTCACATCAAACTTGCGGTACATGCATGGAGTACTAAATGTTCACGAAATCAAAAACTAATTGCACAGTTTGGTTGTACTTTGCGAGACGAACGTTTTGAGTCTAATTAGTCAACGATTGGACAATTATTACCAAACAAAAACAAAACGCTACAATGCGCTACAGTGACCTCTCTTTCCGGCGACGCCAACTTCGGCCAGCAACTAAACGCGGCCTATGTTAACCTGTCCTTCAGTCCACAACCAGTGGAGGACCTGGTCATCAAATGCCGACAATAATAATGTGGTTGATGGACTCGACAATACCCATATGTTTATGTTTCTACGGCGCAGAACACTAGGCATGTGATTTATATGTATATTGTCGGATTTCTCATCACTCGATCGTCCACAAACCTGCTCGCTCATTCTTTTCTTCAACGTACGAAAACTCTAAAAAACAACAACCAATGGCGCCTTCAAGAAAGAATCTCTCTGCAGCAGTGCTCCTAATTGTCATCGTGGCCGCGCGGTATGTACGTGCACACGTATAAACTGTTAGAAATATAAGTCGATCTCTCCTAATGGCTTAAGTTTAGCATTGAATTGGCTAGTGTATGCAACTTAATATGTTGTTTTGATTAATCTTTCGGCTAATTAACCACTTTCTTGCATATGCTAGTACTATGTTCAATGCCTACATGCACGCAGAGTGAATGCCAACACTATGGCAACGGTTGGTGTGAATGCCGGCACCTGAGCGGCTCTTATTCCGGACCGTGCTTTGACGACAACGGTTGCAACCAGATGAAGACTCCGCGAACATTTACGGCGAGTGTGACAAAAACTTTCAATGCTCCTGCTTTACTAAATGCTCCTCTCTCTCCTCTGAGACGGGTGCTGTTGCTAGCCCTCCGATCCAGCCATGATGCAATGATCCCAGCCTGGCGTTTCTTAAATACTCCCTCCGTATCCTAATTAGAGGACGTTCTGGACATAAGTGTCATTACCAAGGAGTCATTAAGTAGAGGGTATTTTTCTCTGTATGCCCCTATTAAATACGCCTGCGGGTTCATTGTATATAAGAAAGAATCAAAGTTGGAGTGGCTAGCGCAGTGCGGTAAGTCCCCAAGGGTCCCAGGTTCGATTCCTGGGGCGCATGTATTTTTGGATATCGCTAGTTTACATGGCGATTTTTGCATGCTACTGTGCGGAGCGAGTCCGCCGTGCGCGCGCGCGCCTGGGCGTGCGTTTGCTTCCAGTTTTCGCGCGGTATCAGCGAGTTTGGCCGTGTTTTTGCCATTCAATTTTTCATTTTTCGGCCTGGCGCTCGTGCATGCGACGTTTGGATGCCTGCAGACAGTTTAATAAAGCGAAAATTATAATGATGCTTGTTAGCTTTTGTAGTAGAGACATCTTGTAATGTTGCATGAACTAAACCATTGCTGATTGTTTCATGAACTAAATTTGTAATCTTACCGATGCTTTGGCGTACTCCTTTGTCGGCAGCAAGCCCTTGTAGTGCTCCATGAAAAGCTCGCAGTCCACGTTGATGCGGCCGAGCATGGCATCGATGGAGTAGTCCGCGTGGACGAGACCACAGCGAGGGCATGGGTAGAATCGCGAGTGCGCACGGTTCCACGCTTCGCGGTCCTCATGGACGAGATGGCAGCGACCGCAAACGAAAGCGCCCGGCGGCAAGGACTCCGGCACCACGCTGTCCGCGGCGACCTCCTGCGAATCCGGCACCACGCCATCCGCGGCGAGCAGCACGACCTCGTCCGGCTCCTGCGAGTCCAGCGCCACGCCGTCCGCGAAGACCTCCTGCGAATCGAGCGTGACGACGTCCGCGGAAACTGGGACCACGCCGTCCGCGGCGAGCAGCAGCGGGTCGAGCGAATCCAGCGCGATGGACAGCAGCGGGTCAGAGTCCACGGACAGCAGCGGGTCGTCGACGTCCTCCGTGGCGAACTCCTCCGACTCCGGCCCGATGTCCTCCGCGGCTAGCACCTCCGACTTCGTCCCGACGCTGTCCGCGGCGACCAGCACCGAGTCCGGCCCCCGCGCGCCGCCGGTATCCATGGCGAGGAAAGGGAGCGCTGGACCCTAACCAACGGACTCTACGGCGAGCAGCTGAGGGAGATGAAGTCTGCGCTGTGGATGGCGAGGGCGAGCGTGCTGCCCTGTTGGCGAGCGTGCTGTGGGCGGCCGACGTCTTCAATCGAGGAGTCCAACGATTAAGCACAGTAATGTCGAGAGGCGAGCGAAGCCGAGCGGCCAGGCTAAGGGGTAAACGCATGCATGCATGCATGCTGTGGGCGGCCCGACGTCTGTGCTGTTTGCATGCATGCGCGTGAGGGTAAACGCGTCCAAATTAGGCCTCGGTATTCAGAACGTTATCCTTTACCACAAACGCATCACGCTCCAGAACGTCCTCTAATTAGGATACGGAGGGAGTATAAATTATCTCTTCTGGGCTCTTATTATGTAATAATACATATATAGTGTTTTCTTAAAAATAACAGGATGAGTTACCTCTGCTAATTAAATATAGAGTAAAATGCACTATCGGTTTCTAAACTTGTATCGCTATGTCATTCTGATCTCCAAACTTGCAAAACTGCCTGGGTTTGAGGAGGCCGAGATCGTGGCATAGCGCAGCGTATCGCAGCAAGGTACCTGCGCTTCGCCATGGACCAAAAATGGCTGCTGGCCGCACTTGATGGTGGGCTTCTTGCTGCTACTGCAGTGCTACTCCAAAGTCGAACAAAGATGAGAATTAATGAAGAAAACATCGATCTAAGGAGGGAGGAAACAGAAAGATATAAAAGTCAATGCCTGCTTTCACAATCTTTATCACTTATATCACGTAGATTTGTTTATAGAAACCTAACGAAATTGATTTCACTTTTTTTTTAAATTAATACTTGTGTGGTTTATTATTATGTATTTTACAAGTTTAATCTGATTTGATCGTTCCAGGAAAAATAATAAAAAGCTTACAAACGATTTTTTTCTCTTAGTTATATTTATCAACGTCTGACATATAGTAACCCCAATTATCCATTCCAACCTACATCGTCTCTATAATAATTCCACTCTAATCAAGCACCGTCATCATTTTCCATCCAACCATCACCAAAATCCCATTTGCAACCAATGTTCACCATCTAGATTCTAGCAAACGCTTATACGATTAATGATCTTATTGGTAGTAGTAACAACACAGAAGAAACCACCAATTTGCATGGTACCCCCTTCAAACCATCCAATCCTAAACTCCAGCCCCTTTGACCGAGGTAGTGTAGTGATTAGTGAACGAGGCCATCACATGGATTATGGGTGTTCTTTGAGGCTGATGAGGCGCGCAAAAAACCATTGTCATATCCATGATCTCCATCATCCATCGGTCCATCAGTTCCACCTGAATGCCATCAGGCTGGCCATGCTGTGCTTACTGTCCGCCCACAGCTAGCCAAAGATAGAAAACGAGAATGGCTCTCTAGAGTGCAAACAAGATATAGAGTAACCGTTGGAGAGTATAAGGGGGAGGTCGGATCCTAAGAGGGGGAGGACAATTCCACGTAGATTCATTCGAGTCCGCACCGTTCCACTCGAGCTCTGCACCGAGAGCAGAGCAACCCAGACAGGGGCACCGAGAGCTCCTCCACCGCATCCGTCATCTTCCTCCTCTCCAGTTAGGGGGAAGGCTCCACCAGCGGCGAGGTGACCCTAGGATTAGCACTGAGTGATCCCCTATCGAATGTCTCTCTTTCTCCTGTACACTATTGTAACCCCCTAGATTTTGGGTGCTCTTGAGTATAAAGATCACCAGCTGCTAGATGTAGGGCATCGATTGGTCTGAACCAGGATAAACCATTGCGTCCCCTCTGTGATTCTTGTGTTCTTGAGTTCACCCGAGCCACCGGAGACACGCACTCAGACACTACCACAAACAACAATGCTTGTCGTGGTTTCGACCCCGCGACAGCTGGTGCACCAGGTAGGGGAGCGCGTCAAGTGCGATTCAGGCTCTACAGTGCCGAAGCCACCCGCCTTGTCGCTAGAGCAAGCGGCACCATCCCAGACGGCAGCATTCGCTTCCCCGATGAGTTCTTCGTCATGACCGATGCCTTCACATCGGGCCAGGTCCTCAACTTTGGGAGCCTGGCCTACGTCGCCGACTGCTACGACGAGCTCCGCTCGCTCAATAGGGCTGCCCCAGCGAGCAGCAAGCCCCCGAC